AAAAAAGGTTGAATGATATTCTTCTATGTGTGTGTACTACATATTCGCTTATCCATTCATTCATTAATGGACATTTAGTTTGTTTCTACCTTTTGTCTACTGGAAAGAGCACTTTTATGGATATAAATGTTCAGATGTTTGCTAAAAAACAAAACAAAGCAAAACAAAAAAATACCTCTCAACCCTGGATTTGGGGCTAGAGCTTAGTGGCACCCGCCTGGCAAGTACAAGTTCCCGAGTTCAATTCCTGGTACCAAAAAATATATATATATAAAAATTCAATCCTATAAGGATTTCTTGCTTGCTTACTAAGAGCCAGGCACTGTGCTGAATTTTGAGAAAAAGAAAAATAGGGGGCAGGGAGATGGCTCAGTGTAATAAGCACTTGCCTGGCAAGCGCAAGGGCCTGAGTTCAATCCCCAGTTCCACCAAAAGAGAAAGAAAGAAAGAAAAAGAAAGATAGCTCAAAATAGCTTCAAGGCATCTTTCAATGTTTACAGATGTGTGAGCAAACAGTGACATCACAAGGTGATGTGAAAAGGTATATGCACAAAGTATGTAGGCAGCAGAGATGTGGGAAAGTGATCAGGCTTCTGCCACGAAGGCCAGTATGTCCTTGTAATACAGGTCATATGAGCCAAGATTTTAAAGGGTATTCAATCAGGAATTTTCCAGCAGGTCAAGTTTGGGGAAGAAGCATCCAGAAGACTAGGAACAGCATGCCCTGAAGGAAGTGAAATAAAAGGGTGGTATCCTGAAGAAATTACAAGCTATTTGGCACTACTGCAGCATAATAGAAGCTGGGAAATGAAGAAGAGCCAAGCAGTTTAGGTGATAAATAGAGAGACACAGTCTTTGCAGAGTTTTGGATATCATAATCCGCATAGGTGACGAAGAGCCAGACAGGGTGGTGTGATGGACCTTAGAAATGGTCTCTGACAGCGTTGAGGCAAAATGGGGAAAAGAGACTGTAGTTCAACAGTAATTCAAGAGGAAACAGGAATGGTTCAGATGAGAGGGGTGAAGGCTGATGGGGGCACTGGTTGGTTTAGAGCACAGAAAACTCGTGCTTGATGAGACTAGCTCAGCCACTGGATGTAGAGGTCTACAAGGAGGAAAAGAAAACTCTTGTTATATATCTCCTACTTGGCAAGGTATAGTTCTAAGTCCACAGAAAATGCTCAGAAATAGTCCTTTAAAAAGCAACTCTCTAGTACTGTCTGATCTGGATTTAATTTTATTTCCAATTTTAAAATTACACTCTATGGGCCAAACTTTCCAAGTTTTTATCCAACATCTTGGTTTACTTCAAGTCTACAAGAATTCTCTTCATATTTCCAAATTATTTGCACCACAAGTCAATAAGACTTCTCTTAATAATTTAATAAATTATTTACAAAAAGAAAACCAAAAGTGATTTTTCCCCCAACCACATAGTTACCTATGAGGACAGTTATTAACATAGAATTCAAAAGGAAAAGGAGAATAATGTGTATGATCATGAAGAAAGAAGGAAGATGTCAAACCTTCCCAACACACAAACAGGAGACTTCTCTTTATTGTAGGTCACATAGAGTAATAACACATCTTTTTCTTAGTATTTCAGGTCATTCCAACCTCATTCAGCCTTTACCTGTGTGTCATAAACAGATTTTTGGGAGGCACAATGATTTCCTGGCTATAAGAAGAAATGCCATCCTGTCTATTAGCGTTTTTATATTGTCAAGAAAGATGAGCAATACAGTGCAAACAAAGTGACTTGTTTCTTATGATGACAGTGTAAATACACTGCAAGAGCTGAGAGGTCCTTCCATGACTATGATGACTATCTTTTAGGCACTTTTTTGTATATTTCAAAGAATGGAAAAGAAAACCATCAGGGCTTCAAAGAGATTCTGATCAGATAATTTTGAGTGATCAAAATTCTGGGAAGCATATCCTATGTACATGTGATACATATGCTCTCCGAAGAATTTTTGAATCCACGGTCAGCAAACTCCACACTGTTGGTGATATCTCTTCTACCACCTGTTTTTGTACCACTATGAGCTAAGAACAATTATTATATTCTTAAATTCTTGGGGGAAAAAAATCAAAAGACGACTATGTGATAATGACCAGAAATTCAAGTTTCACTATCTCTAAATAAAGTTTTATTGGAACACAGCTTACCACTCCTTCTGTACTGGCCACATTTGTGTTACCACAGCAGAGATGAGTATGTAGAGACCCGTTAGCCCACAAAGCCTGGAGTATTCACAAGGGCTCTCTTTCCAAATGATGTTTGCTGACCCTTGTTTTAAGAGTTTTCTGCTAAAGGAACAAGACTTCTATAGACTGAAGGTCTCTTGTAGATGAAAGTCAGTGATATGTTGTATTTGAATATATGTATATATGAATTTAATAAAGATCATAAAGCTCCTAGGATATTGAAATCACAGAATAAAGCAAGACACATGATTTCACTGTATTTAGGATACTTATTTTTTCATCCTGTTCCAGTGGAGCATTGTTCTTAAGACATATGTTTTAAGGTCTTTCTTATCCTTTCCATGTTGATCAGCTTTCTGTGACTTATTCTCTTGTAAGCCTTAGGCTTCTTATAGAAATGAACAACAATGATACCAACCTAACAGAGTTGCAGTAACACTTGGATAAATGAAGTGATTGTTTTTAAAGGAATTACTTAGGTCCACAGCAGCTTTGTAATAAATTTTGCCTTGCTTACCACCACTATCTGAAAACATCAGTTTCACTTTTTGGTCTTCTGCTCCTAGCAATGCTTTTAACTTCTGCTTTGATGGGAAACTCTAAGATTCTGCTGCTACTTTCCTGTAGCCAGGGCGCTTCCATCTGCATCACTATCGGCTGCAAAACCTTCTCCAGCTGCGGAGATCTACAAGCCCACTTGCCAGGGGAGTGGGAGAACAAACTCACGACGCTGACTGGGGTCGGAAGGTTGTTCGGCAGCTGGATGATGGCTTCTGGAGAGCAGGTTGAACTTTATTTTTTAGGTTATACACTAGTCCAACTTTTTCTGTGGAAAATCTACACTTGTGTGATCAGGTGCTGATGAAAGCTTGGCTGATTCAGCTGTCAAATTCTTTTTTAGAGTGGATGAATTTGCCATTTTATCTATTTTATGTTAGCTGAACATTGACATTTTTTATTTCCTACCACAAAACTCTCTTAGAAAATCACAAGGGGGCAATGCTGGGAAATGTGGTGCTTTACCTCGCACTGGGCTTTGAGGCCTGAGCTTGTTGTCTTTGGGATTGTTGGACTCCAGGTTCCTGGGGAGGACCCGGGGCCCAGGGAACTTGTCAAGCCTCAATTATAATGCTGCTTCTCTCTGCCTCTCTCTAAATGTACCCTGAGCAGGCTTAGCACAGATGTCTTCTGACCACCAGGGGTGCTCTGCAGAAGAGGCGAGGACCCTCTTTTCTTGGCCTTTACAAAACATTTCTGCCTAAGCCCAGCTAAAAGGAAGAGACATACCCTCCCAAACAAGGGAAACTTTTGTACCTCCTCCCCTCAAAATTAGTTAAAGAAATATCAGAATTCCAGAAAGCAGCAGATATCTTCACAGTGCATACTGGAAACAGAATTTCTGTAGGTCCTCTGCCACCCCCCACATTGTATTTAATCACATCAAAGAGTTTTTTTTACAAATCTCACTTGCTTTTGCTTCCTGCATGTTGTGGTCTTGACATATTGTTTTGAGGAAAATGCCTTCAAATGTTGTCTTGCCCCTCAATTATGGTTGAGAAGGAACTGTTAATGCAGTGTTGCCACTCAAAAGAAGCAGAAAATATTTCAGAATTCTTACATATTCTCATTGGGCTTGGGTTTAAGAAGACAGACATGCACACAGTAGCCTGGTGTGCGGATAAAACCAGTCCATTGATGCGAGGGGTGCAGTGGCGTCTTGTTACTGGTAGGAGTAACTCTCGTCATCGTACTCCAGCTCAACCTCGTCTTCCTCATCCAGCAGTCCGTATTTAAACTTCCGGTAGACGGTGCCATCTTGGCCCATGTAGACAATGTCATCATCTTCTTCCTCATCATAGTCCCTGTCTCTGTACTCAATCACCTGGTCCTCTTCAAAGTTGCTGTTCTCGCGATAGCTGCTCTTGTAGGAGTAGGACTTGGCAGGGTCAGTCAGCTTTTCATAGCGGGCCTTTTGTGTGGGCTGGGGGCGGCCCCGAGACTTCTTCCAGACAACCACAGCGGCCCCCAGCAGAAGCACCAGGGTGATGGAGGAGGTGATCAGCAGAGCTGTCTTGGAGCGCTCAGCAGGCCCGGCGGGCTTCTGAAGGAGGCACTCCTCTGATGGACGATGACCCAGAGGCACAGGGGAGAGAAGAAACAGAATTAGGAAAATTGGTTTCTGAGGTAAGGAACTTCATGCTTAGTTTTGAACACCTTAAAAGGTGGAATCGCTGTCCATGGTTTCCTGGAGGCCTAGCTTACAAAACTGCCTCTGTAGCCCACAAGTCCTGTCCATATCGAAAAAACAAACAAACAAACAAACAAAAAAAAAAAAAAAAACCAGCAGTAACAACACAGTCCTTTTAAAAAGGTCAGTCTGAGATCCAGTGTCTAACCTTCTCAGTTGATTCTTTTATTTCGCTCCGGAGAAAATATTTCATCTTTGCATGCTGAGAGCTAGGAATAGAATAGTGTTTTTTTTTGTATTTAGTACAGTACAGGGTCTATAGGGTCTCACTACACAGATTGGACTCATAGTAATCCTCCCATGTTCAGCCTCCCAAGTGCTGGGATTACAGGTGTGTGTCACCACACCCAGTCTCATTTGCTGTCTTAGCGTGCCCCGGTGTCAGGGCTGTCACGGCACGCCGTGGATGGAACCTTTCTTGGCCCTTCCATCTGCCTAAGCAGGCACTTTAATCCGCTGAGCTATCTGGCTGGCCCCATATTGTTTTCTTTTTTTTCTGGCTCAGCCCACCCTCAGGGTGGGGCTGGCGCATTATGTGGTGCTGGGGATAGAACCACGGTACCCTGCGCCTGCCTAAACTTGCCTAAGCAGTCGCTTTAGATCGCTGAGCTATTTCCCTGGCCCTAGTCTTTATATTCTTAAATGCTTGCAAAAAATAGAATGACTATTTGATAACTATCAGAAATTCAAATTTCACCATCTATGAAGTTTTTATTTGACTTAGCTGTTTTTAAGATGACTGATTTTTCTAAGATTCAGTCCTCTATCTCTACCTGCAAGCCTGCTACTCCAACAGGACTGACCTGTTGTTCGGGGGGCTGGAGAAGGTAAAGGGTAAAACTACTGACTCCTAAAGCCACGAGGGGCCTTAGAAATTGCTTAGGGCAATTTGTTGTGGCCGTTGAGGAAACCAAGGCCCATGGAGTGGAGGTCAACTGCAACACCGTCCAAGACAAGACCACCTTTGTGGCACACAGCAGTTCCAGCCTATTAATCTTCACTTTATCCAGCTTTCTACAGACATGAAGGCAAAATGGTCTGCCAACTACTTTTTGGCCTTTTGGAATTTTGTGACCATCAGCTGGCAGGAAAGGAACAGTGGCGTCTTTTTTTTTTTTTTTTTTTTCAGCACCAGGGATCGAACTCAGGAAAACAGTGGCATCTTTAAATGCTGCAAGCCAGCTTGAGTGATGGGTAGTTTCTCCGATCACAAAGGAGCTTCCTGAAGTCACGAGTTCTGTCCCTTTCACCCATAAGCCCCCTGTGTTCATTCCTTGCCTGACAGGGTGGAGTAATCACAGAAGCACCACAGAGTGAAGGATTAAGCAGTAACTTTAGCAATAGTGTCATGGGTGTCTCTATTTTACACTTATTCATTCAGTTAGTAGATTCGGCCAAATAGCTCAGTGGATTAAAGCGCTGGCAAGCAGGCACAAGGGCCAGGGGTTCAATCCCTAGGCCTGCCATGCTGGCCCCACCCCCAGGGCACGCTGAGACAGCAATTGAGACTGGGCACATGCCTGTAATCCCAGCTCTTGGGAGGCTGTAAACAGGCGGATCACTATGAGTCCGATCTACTAGTGAGACCCTGAACACCCTGTAGACCCTTCCCTAAAATATAAATAAATAAATAAATAAATAAATAAATAAATAAATAAATGCTAACATTCAGTTGGTATGATAGATTTACCTAATTTGCTTCACTTTAATTTAGCTCAGACTTGTAGGAATGTGAAAGACAGTACAAAAACCTAGGTAAAACACTGCTTAATCTATGGCCACACCACCCTGAACGCGCCCGATCTCATCTGATCTCAGAAGCTAAGCAGGGTTGGACCTGGTTAGTAGTACTTGGATGGGGGTGAAACACCACTTAGACCAGGTTTGATGTGCAGGTTCAAGTAGGCATCAGGTTCTCTGTAAAGTTTTTGAGCCACTTGAGAGATGCGTTCGCAATCTAGTTAATGCAGGTGAACTGCTGCCAGGTGCAACGATGTTTTGCTCATTGGATCTGATGAGGCGGCTAGGATGCACCACCAACATCTTTTTTGGTACTGCTAAACAAGTTTTCTGTTTTATCCTCATCCTTATTCTCATTGGATTTTGACCATCTATAGAATTTTTTCCTTTAAAGCATTTTAATAAGGGTCTACAGGGTATACAGACTCTCACTAGGTAGATCAGATCGCCCCTCCCCTGGGGCACACTGAGATGGCAATTGAGACTGGGCACCTGTGTTCAGCCTCCCAAGACCTGGGATTACAGGTGTGCACCACCACACCCAGTCTCAATCACTGTCTCAGCATGCCAAAGGGGTGGGCCGGCATGGCATGATGGGGATTGAACTCCGGCCTCTGTGCTTTGCCTAAACAGATGCTTTAATCCACTGAGCTTTCTGGCCAACCCTTCTTCCTTTAGAGTAATACCACTGCTATCATTCCATTTGTCATTATTAATATCAGTACAGATTTGTTCCCTGGAGGAAATGAAAATACCAAAGGAATAGATACACAACTTGTGTGTGATACTTTGGGGTAACTACCACCTGGAGGAAGAGAATGGACACGAGACCTTCTGAGATGGCTTCAAGTAGGGGGACCCATATGCAGCATCATCTACCTGTCTGTTCTCTGCCTTAGGCTGCAGAGGCAGGCCAGCCTTTGTGCTCTGCTGTCCCTGAAGGGGTAGACTGTTTCAGGAACAAAAGAGCAAGTAAATAAGCAAGAGTGATATTTTCATATTTGCCTCGCACCTGGTTAGGCAAGCACTCTACATGCTGAGTTCTAACCCAGCCCAAGAATCTTTGGGGTTTTTTAGTTACTCCAAGTGTCTTTGTTTTTTTATTTTATTTTATTTTATTTATGTGTGTGTGTGTGTGTGTGTGTGGCCAGCTCAGCCCACCAGGGGGCGGGGCTGGCTGGCATGTGGTGCTGGGGATTGAACCGCGGTCCATGTGCTTTGCTGAGCTTGTTCTAAGTAGATGCTTTAGACCACTGAGCCATCTCACCAGCCCCACCTCCAAGTGTCTTTGTAAGAGCCACAAAGACACCAGGAAACTTACTAAACAGCTCTTCATTGGAACAAAGTTTCAGAAACTGCACCCAGCGTGTGTGCGCGTGTGTGCAGGCTCTGGGCTCCCACAGCAGCACTGATGCAGTGAGGGTCAGCACTCCTCGCAAGCACAGCGCGCATACTAGGCAGTCAGACACTGGGGTGGGTATGTCTGAGCCCTGGGAGAGCCGAAGAAACCGAAGAAGAACCCATTACTGGAAAGACGACCTTAAGAACCTAACTGAAGGGCCAGCCTGATAGCTCAGCATACTAAAGCACCTGTTCAGGCAGAGTGCTGTGGCCTGGGTTCAATCCTTGCTGTGCTGTGCCGGCCCTGCCCATGGGGCAAGCTGAGACAGCAATTGAGACTGGGCGTGGTGATGCACGCCTGTAATTCCAGCTCATGGGAGGCTGAAAACAGGAGAATCACTAGAAGTTCAATCTACATAGTAAGACCCTGTAGAGCCTGTAGACCCTGCCCTAAATACAGGAGGAAAAAAACCCCCAAAAACCTGAAACAAAACCTAATTGAAAAACTGTGATGGAAAGAGAAAAAAATAGCACTTTCCTAGTATGTGTAAAATTTAGTATTGCAAATAAAGAAATAAGAAATAACTGGCTGGTAGCAGTTCCGGATTTGGGATTTTCTTAAATTTACAAATGGACAGACTCCCATAAGTACCTGTTTTGGGGGATCACAGCATGTTACAACCCCAACAAAACAACTATTTGTGGGCTAGAGAATATGTTTGGAGAATATTTCAACCTAATGTAGTCCTGGCTGAGGAGGGGGCTCTCTGGAGCCCAGGAATCTGAGACCAGCCTGGGTGACTTAGAGAGACCTCCATCTCAGAAACAAAGAATGTTTGTTTCCATCAAATGAAATCACTAATTGAAGATATGAGATTGCAACCAGTGAAAACCAAGACACATATATGAATGGGCTTGGAGGTTGGAAGACACCTGTGGGCTGGAAACTGGTGAATTGGGTCTTGTGTTTTAGCCTTCAGTGAAAATATATTTCTAGAATGCTTGAGCTCTCTAACGGAAAGCCTTGATTTGGGCTGACTTCCATAGAATGATTCTTCAACAAAAGCAAGATAATACTGCTATCAGCTTCTGTAGCAGCTAATTCTTTTAGTATGTGTGGGAGGGAGACTAAGAAAGTAAATGTGTGAAGGTCAAATTCTAGGCCTACTTGATGGCTGCTCTGGGAGGCAGCATGGGGATGGAGGACCGTGGCCTTTGCTGTCCAAAAGATTCCTGTGCTAGCTCGAGGTAAGTCTCTTAATGTAATCAGCCCTTTTGGTCTCTGTCTCCACATCTGTAAAATGGGGTCTGTAACACGAGCTGGATAACGGACACGCGGATTCAGGCATGGAAGGCGTGCAGAAGGCACTTGATAGGAAGGCAGCCTTCGGATCTCCCTGCGCTCTCCTCCCCTCCACTGCGCCCTCACCCGTGGTTTCCTGGCAGTCGCAGCAGTCCTGGGTGGAGTGGGGCCCGGAGGCATTGCAGCACTGCAGGCAGCGGCCATCTTCCGGGTGCAGCAGCAGGGGAGCGGGGCACACTGTACAGTTTTTGGGCCCGGGGCCCTTGCATTCTGTGCAGCTCTCATGGCAGTTTTCGCAGGTGAATTTCTCGCCCTGTTAAGAACAAAGAGGATCCTTCTGAGTGCAGACGGATTAACTCCCAAGTCAGAATTTCCTCTCGGCTCCCTAAGGCAGGAGGCAGGTGGCGGGCCCAGAAAGACGGTGCGCTCAGGCCCATTCTCACTGTGCTGGGTGAAAGAACCAACTGCCTGCTAGGGACAGACCGGTGCCTGGCCCTGACCTTTGAGATTTGGCAAAGTAGGGGACAGGCTTCCAGAATAATTTCTTATGAAGCAACAGATCCTATGCTTGGGACAGCTCAGGACAGGAGCTTGTTTTCTCTGGTTCACACTATATAGACTGTCATAGGTTTAAGCATTCTGCCTTCATTTCCCATAATTCACAAGTGTGCTGTTGCACGTGTAAGCAGTTCCTAGTTTCCTCTTAAAACCTGGAAGACCTGTTCTCACTCCCACATGGCAGTGCCACCAATAGGGCCGAGTGGCATGCACATCCCTTTTGATGTGCTCCTACTTTATGTTGCTTCCAGACCTTGCTGTTACATCTCTAAGACACACGACTTTCCACTGTTCATCATGCTTGCGCTCTGGTTGTCTCTGACCTGGCATCTGCCAAAACCCGGAATGAAATACATGGTGACTCTGTGACTAAAACTGTTAAATCTCATTGGCAGGAGAGTCCAGAGATGAGAAGAAGAAGAAAAAAAGTAGCTTTCCTCCTGACAAGTTACTATGTGCTTGGTGCTAGAAACCTGATTAGGGAAGATACCATCCCATCCTACTTTTGTTAACTTTGGAAGACTAGTAAAATAGCACAGGAAGCATGTCAGGGCTGGGGGTGGTTCAGAGGCAGAGCACTTGCTAGCACGTAGGAGGCCCTAGGTTTGATCCCCAGGATCACGATCAATCGATGATGATAATAATAATAAAAGGAGTGGAAATTGCATTACTGAGCCTCTTGGCACACCACAGATGCTGCGGAGGAGTTCTAACAGCCGCTATTGCACCAACTCTGCTCCATGCAGTTCTAGTTCTCTTACTGCTCGCGTGATCTTCCACAAATTACTTAACCTCGATGAGCTGCAGTTTCTCCAAACTGTAATGAGGGTGGCTGTTACCAGAGTCGAAAGCAAGCAGAGGCTGTGCTGGTTTGTGTTCATGGAGTTTTACTCACTGGCTAAAGTTTGGAGGCACAATTAAGAAATGAGTGGGCTCAAAAATCAATGGCTTTTATGCACACAGATGAGGTCTTCTTAGTACAGTGTGAAGAAGTAGTATGGGAAATGAAGTGTGTGTGTGTGTGTGTGTGTGTGTGTGTGTGTGTGTGTTTCCCACCTTGTTCATGTGTTTCTACTTAAGACAGTCTGTATTCCTGAAATAACTTTCTCATGTAGACTAAAACCTTTGTAACCGTGAAACATGGGTTCATTCTGAAATTCTCCTGCCCCATTATTTATTCTAGATCCTCTCAGTTCCTGTGAAGACTACAGTGAGGGCAGCCCTGTTATTTCATGATACAATGGAAGATTTTAAAATGTTCTGTGGTGAACATTTTTAAACAAAAGTGAGTGTTGGAACGTTAAGATTTCTTGATTGTCCCAAAGGATATGGAGGAACTGAGTTCATGCTCCTTTCTAGAAGGATGGGTGACACCCACCCTGGCTCTCAGTACCTCTCCCACTCGGAATTTCCCCACGGCACAGTCCAGGCTGCAAATTCCCCCCATGAAGTGGTAGTTCCACACACAGGATAAGCAGTGTAACTCTCCTTTTCCTGAAAGAAAAAAAAAAGCCAATTAGGAGACCAGCCTCGTATTTCAGCCTTTGTCTCTGTTCCAGAACACTCAGGAGCAAAGACCATGTCAAGTAAATTGAAGACGACATTGATAGAGCATATTTTTTAAAAAGTCTAAAAGCCCAAGTGAAGACTTACCAATTATCCCATTAGCTGAGTCTATGCAGACTCAGTCTGGAAATCAAGCATTCAGAGATGACAGACATTTTATCACAGCAAGAGAAATTTCTAAAGAAGGAGAAATCATGCAGAAAAGTTTATAAAACCCTTCTTTGTGATGATTATTGTCTAACTAGTGAGGGGGATGACAGCAGCTCATGTGGAGAGTCCTCATCCACAGTGGAGTCGTGAGTGGAGAGTCCCTCATGAAAAAGCACCATTCGAAGATGTGAAGTTCTAAGGCCAGGAGAACTCAGCAGATCATTTGATCCTGTGATTCTTTTGGGAGATGAGATGGTGGTGATAGATTCTTTTAGAATTCTTTTAAAAACTATGAACTCTCTCCTCAGAATCGGCTATCCTATTTACTTACTATTTTTTTTCATTACACAAACACCACCAGTAACACTCAGACATGCAGTGCCGCTGATCCAAGACTTCAGAGACAGTGGTCAAATCAAGATTCACATTCAGACAGGTGTGGTGGTGCACACTTGTAATCCCAGCACTCAGTAAGCTGAGGCAGGAAGACCTCTGTGAGTTGGAGACCAGCCTGGGCTACAAAGTGAGCTCAAGGCCATCCTGAACTGTCTCAAAAAAAAAAAAAAAATCAAATTCAGGTTTGTTCACCCACAGCATAGCTTTTTCTCCCACCTTTATCTGCCTTAACTCCAGAACCATCAGAGACAGGAGCACTGAATGTCCACAACCTGTTCTGGGTGGCAGTAATGTCTCTGGCTCTAATGCAGGCATTCTGAGAATGACTGACCCAAACATTTCTCTCTCTGTTTATTGGAAAGAGTTGGGGATGGAAGATCTGAACTCCTGCTCAGGTTATGAGGAAGGCCCTGGCATTTCTCTGATAATTCAAAGCAGGAATGTGGAAGAGAGCAGAATGTGCCAGAGTTGTTAAACCCTGATGGAGGCCCTGCCGTGCTGTCAAGGGTGGTTGGATGAACTTGATGAAGAAGCACAAGTTCTGTCTTTCCCACTTACAAAGGAGTTAAACTGACTTTTATTGCTTGATCTTCAAGCTTAGTCATTTGTTGTTTGTTGTTTCTGTTTTTGGTTTTTGTGATATTGGGGATCAAATCCAGGGGTATGCTACCACTGAGCTATATTCCCACCTCTTTGTATTTTGTTATTTTGGGATAGTGATTTGCTAAGCTGCCCAGGTGGGATTTGAACTTGTGATCCTCTTGCTTCAGCCCTTCTAAGTGCTGGGGGTAGGTAGGCACCACCAAGCCTGGCTCAATTTGATCATTTATAATGTTTTTATGAAGAAATAAAGTCTGAGCTCTGAACACCTTAAAGAATAAACTGTTAGGGCCCAACTGCTCATGAGGTTGGGGGCTGTTTGCAGTGGTGTAAATCTATTTTTTTTTTTTTAATGTATTTAGTATGAGGTCAACAGGATCTCACTATATGTATCGGACTCATAGTGATCCTCCTGTTTTCAGGCTCCTAAGTGCTGGGATTACAAGTGGGTGCCACCTTGCCTAGTCTCAATCAGTCTCAGCACACCCCCGGGGGTGGGGGAAGCGCAACATGCCAGGGATCAAACCCTGGTCCCAGCATCTGCCTAAGCAGGCACTTTAATCTGCTGAGCTATCTGGCTGGCCCTTGCAGTGGTGTAAATCTACAGCCTCCCTTCTGTTTTAGCATTTCTATATATTCTGAAACATAATTGTGGTTTCTGATAGAAGAATAAATCTTTTGCCACCTTCTTTCCTTTTCCCATACCACATTTTCTCAATTAATAAATAAGTTTCCCAATAAATAAATAATTAATTTAAATAAGTAATTTCTAATTATTACAGCTTAGATGTTTTACTCCAACTTTTTTAAACACAGGAAGTTTTACTTTTAAAAACTTTATGTTTTTAAGGGCTGGGGAGATGGCTCAGTGGAATAAGCGCTTCCCTGGCAAGTGCACAGGCCTGAGTTCAATCCCCGGTTCTGCCAAAAAAACAAAACAACAACAACAACAACAAAAACCTTTATGTTTTTGTGTATCTTTTTTGATGATTTTGCTTTTATTTACATAACTCTTAGAGTCAGTATGCGATGTATAACAGAACATAAACCTACAGTGCTGCACTATATGGTACAATCAGCAAAAATTACAGCACTGTATAAATAAGGTGTACTGTACAAAACAGGACACCAGGGCTTTATAAACAAGATATACAGACTGTACAAATAAGGTGGGTGGTAAGTCCAAGCAGTGGGTGCTAAGTCTGAACAGCATCTCTATCCTAAGTCTGAACAGCTCTTAAACAGGTAGGTCATTAAATGATTATCTATATCTTCTATAAGTGGGATGAGATTTAGCAGTGGAAAGAGGGAGAGGAAAAGGGGAATAAAAAGAATGAAGACATGTTATGTACACGTATCTATTCCCACAATGAACATAATCATTGAAAAACTTTATGTCTTTAATGAGGAGAAAGTAAAGGCATGTGGAATCTAAATCAATGACATTCACCGAAGGAGCAGAATGCTGGTTACCAGAGGCTGGAGGAGCGGCGAGAGCGGAGAAATGCTGCTTCCAAGGGCACCAAAGGTTCAGGTAGGCAGGAGGGGAAGGTTCTTGACATCATTTGTTGTACAGTACAGTGATTATAGTGATAAGAATGTGCTGTATATTTCTAAATTGCTCAGAGTAAATTTCAAACATTCTTATGACATAAAATAAGAATTATTTGACGTGCTAGACACGTTAGTTAGCCTTATTTACTCCTTCCACATTGTGTGTATCATAACATCACTGTGTATCCTGTAAATGTATACAATTATAATTTGTCATTATATGGTAAAATAAGGGCATATTCTCTACCAATGAGTTATACCCCATCTTTTCGTTCTTAATTAACACATAATAATTATTTAAATTTATGGAGTACAATGTGATGTTTTGACACATATACATCTTGTGTAGCAATCAACTCAGAGTAATTAACAATCCATCAGCTTGAACACTTATGGTCTGAGGATTTAAAAATCTCCTTTTCCAGCTGTCTAGAAATACGCATTATTACTGACTATACAGTTGCCCTACTATGCAGCAGAACACTGGGAAGTACTCGTCTTGGCCATGACTGCAGCAACCTCTCTGGATTCCCTCTTCACCCCTCCAGACTGGCTAGTGTGACACATTGCTGACTCCATTTACATGTGGGTGACCCACTGCTGACTCCATTTTCACATCTTCTGCTGATCTCTTGCAAAACCTGCAATCTGGGAACCTAAAATCTTTCACAAAAAGCAGGTTGTTAATTTCCAGACTGTTTTCTCTTGCTTTCAAGTTTAAGACTGTGCATCTAGCACTGCTTCGTAGAGCCTCAGGGTTTAAAGGACAGGCATTGTCATATTTCCTGCCAAGTCAGAACAGTCCACCACCTGCTTTCCCTCAGGCTGAGCCCCGTGGGATGGGCTCAACAGATGCAGAATAACGCCTGGGTGTCTGTGAGCATTAGCTGCGCTCAGAGAGAGGTCTCTGGGAATTGAGGTGGCTCTGGTTATGCAACTTGGGTTTGATTTCAAATAATCTTATGAAGAGGATAAATATAGAGCTACACATGGTTGTAAGGAATGCGCTAATGATGGATGTATCAGTTGCATAACAGGCACACGCTAGGCCTGGGTGTGCTCTGCTTCTCCCCTCTCTTGACTATCTGCAACATCCTACCATTAATTGGTGGTCAAAAGGGAATGAAATACAACTTATTTGGTAAATATCTTATGTAGGAAATTTTTTTGGAGGCAATGGAGGTTGAATCTAGGGAGCACTGAGCTACACTGCCAGTCCTTTTAATCTTTTTTGGGGGGAGGGCAGGGCCTTGGTTTCTACACGGTCCACATGGGACTTGTACATGCAATCCTCCTGCCTCTGCTTCCTGTGAGGCTGGAATTACAGGTGTTCACTACCATGTCCAGTCCCAGTAAACTTTTCTTGATTATTTCAAACTCATTTTTTAGTGTGACTGCTAAAGTTTTAAGAAAGACTTCACCCCTTATATTTTCAACCCAGCTTACCACCTAAGAGAAAAAAAAATCTCTTCCCAAATTTTATAAGCTATATGTTGTAATACCAGGGGCAGATAAAGATTCACTGATCACCTGACTTATTTTTATTTTCTCTTTTTTCTTTTCTGGGACACAATACCCAACACTCACAAGTTAAAGGAGGAAAGGCTTATTTCAGATGATATAGGTTTCCATCCATACTTGGCTGACTCCAAGTTAGGGCTGTATGTCAGAGGGCATCACAGGGGAGAGGAGAAACAGTCCATGGTAGGGTCTACAGGGGGGCACTGAGATGGAGGAGAGGAAGAGAAGGAGGAGAGGAAGAAGAGGAGGAGGAGGAGGAGCAGCAGCAGCAGCAGTAACAGCAGCAACACCAGCACCAGCTCCAGCTCTAGCACCAGCAAGTCTTCCTTCTTTCTGTCCCTTTATACTACATCCAGGCTATAAGCCTTTTGGGTGATGCCACCCACATCCATTATGGAGCTTCTATATTCAGTGAATCCCATGCCCAGGACTATGTTAATTCTAATCAGTGGATTTGATTTAGTGCCAAACACCCTTAATCTCATTATCACATACCCTAGATCCAGCCAGCTCCAAAAAGCCCCATATGTGAGTACATGAGGCTTTGGGAGGACATCTGATACAAACTATAACACCAGCAAAGGATGTCTACAGCATGTGAAATATGTGTCATGGTTTATGTCTTGATGTCCCCTCAAAGCCTCATGTAGTCATAGAGTTTACTTTGGAGGTGATTTCCTCTAAAGTGTGCAATTGACTCATAGTGG